AGTTCTTGTGGACGACTTACTCATAATATTGTCCAAAGAAGGCTACCAGTGCCTAGGATACGCAGACGACCTAGCAATCATCGTCAGGGGGCGATTTGCAGGTACAGTTTCGGAGCGATCTCAAACAGCTCTAAACATAGTGAACAACTGGTGCAAAAAGGAACAATTGTCCATCAACGCACAAAAAACAACAGTTGTACCATTCACAAAAAAACGGGTACTTACAGGTCTAAGACCACTAGTACTAAACAGCACAGTTATCCCATTCGTCACAGAAGCCAAATACCTCGGAGTCATATTTGACCAAAGGCTGACATGGAATCAACATCTCAAAAAACTCACACATAAAGCTACAATAGCTCTCGTAAGCTGTAGAAGAATATGTGGGAAAAACTGGGGTCTAAACCCCAAAATGGCCATATGGTTATACACAAGGGTAATAAGACCCATGATAACCTATGGCGCAGTGGCGTGGGTAACCAAAACTGCGCAGGCAAGTGCAATAGGCCAACTCACTAGCATTCAGCGGCTTGCCTGTCTAAGTGCTACTGGGGCCATGCGCACTACGCCGACCGCAGCAATGGAGGTATTGCTAAATCTCACGCCATTGCACATCTTCATACAAGGAGAAACCAGGTCAGCTATTCACAGGCTAATGCAGGGACAAAATCCAATAAGCCAACTACATAGCGTCGACCACACAAGGCTATATCAGCAAGTAAAAAGGGATAATATTCTAGCTATGCCTACTGATAGAGCCATAACCACATACAAATTTGAAAGAAATTTTTAAATTCAAATACCAGCCCGAGAATCCTGGAAACAGGGACCTCCCGTACAGGCTGAACTCGTCTGGTACACAGACGGTTCAAAAACCAAGGAAGGAGCCGGTGCTGGAATCTATAGACCTAAGTCGAAATCAACGATTTCACTAAGCTTAGGAAAATATGCAACAGTGTTCCAGGCTGAGCTAATAGCCATACAACACTGTGCAAGAGAAATATTAAATCAGCAAGTATCAGGCAAAACTATTGCCTTATACTCTGATAGCCAAGCAGCTCTAAAGGCAATTCTCTCACCAGAAATCAAATCACGACTGGTGAAAGACTGCCTAGAAGACCTGACAGAGCTAAGTAGTCAAAATAAGGTGACCTTAGCCTGGGTTCCAGGCCATGAGGGAAATCAGGGCAACGAAAAGGCCGACGAATTAGCCCGAGAAGGCTCAGATAAGGCCATGACAGGCCCCGAACCCTTCTGTGGAGTTGCTAAGGCATTGTGCAAGGCATCCATTAAACAATGGATGCAAAAAGAGTCTCAGGAATGGTGGAACAACTATCCAAGACTGAGACAGGCCAAACAGTTCATCAAGGAACCATCGGCCAAGTTTACGAAAGACCTACTGGATCAAAAACGTAAAATCGTTAGGATAACAGTAGGCCTTCTTACTGGACACTGTCGCCTCAAAAGGCACATGAGTGTCATAAATCCAGCAGAAGAAGCAACTTTGTGCAGGTTCTGTGAAGAAGAAGAGGAAACATCATTCCACGTCCTGTGCCAATGTGAAGGCTTGGCTGGAATGAGGTTTCTAACATTGGGCGAAGAAAAGCCAATTGCATGCAACTACATGCGGGAGCCACTGTCAAAGCTACTAAGTCTAATAAAAAAGACCAGGCTAGACGACATACTCTAAAACAAACGGAGTCATACAATAGATCTGAAAAGGTCGCGGTGGACAAGGACAAATAACGTCCAACTCCTAATCTAATCTAATCTACTTATAAAGTAGCTCGTTATCACGTTACAAAATTCCAAAGTTTAAAAAAAAATTCCCACGTTATTTAAATGGGAAATAGAAAATTACAAAACGCCACCTCTAAATATTAATATTAAGAGCTCATATTTTCACAGGGTCATTTTCTAAAGATACTCTGACGAATTTTCAATGTTCTTTGGAAAAAAAATACAAAAAATATATTTTAACAATGAAATAAAAATGTCTTTTGGTTGGCCATACATAGCACCAAAATTTCGAGGTGCGTCGATTATACCTGCAAACAAAAATAATCGTTAGACTGCACCAGACGAAGAAGGCAAGTGTTAAATTTTGGGATTTTTTATGTTGGAGATTTATTGCTAATTTGTGATGTCAAAGAAGGCAGCAGAGCCCCTAGGCAATTTTGAGTTGAAACCTTTGCTATATTTTTAGGCTATTTTAAAGCTATTTTTATACTACTGTTTTTTTGCAAAAATCAGGGTGCTCAGCACCTCAATTTTTAAAGTTTTTTCCAAAAATAACGACACAATATTTTTAGGCTATTTTTATGCTCTTAAAATATTATTTTTAACAAATACAGGGTGCTCTGCTGGCTTCGTACGAAGCCAACTAAGCACCTCTATTTCAAGAAAGCACCCTGTATTTTTTAAAAAATATTATTTTTTTCAAAAAGTTTAGCCTAAAATTAGCTCAAACATGTGACATAAGTAGATGTTTCTACAAAAAAAAATAAACCGAGGTGCTCTGCTGACTTTGTTCCAACAAATCACCCTGTATTATTTATAAATAGCAATTTTTTAGTAAAGTTTTACAATATTTTAGGAGCCTAAAAATAGCCTAATAAATGCAGTGTGGTTGTTTTTAGAAGAAAACCTTTAAAACACCTTGATTTTTCTAAAAAACGAGGAGCATAAAAATTTTTGGGTAGGGTATAAAAATAGCCTTATAATAGCCTAAAAATATGGCATAGGTTTCAACGCAAAATTACGGAAGCGTAGAAGGGCCACATTTTTTAATTTTTTTTTTAATTCTAAAATTCCGTGTTTGTACACGGAATTCCTTGTTCAAACACGGAATTTTCGTGTTCAAACACAGAAATCCAAAATTCCGTGTTCGAACAAGGAATTTCCGTGTTAAAACAAAGAATTCCGTATTCAAACACGGAATTCCGTGTACGAACACGGAATTCCGTGTATGAACACGGAAATTCCGTGTTCGAATACGGAATTTTAGATTTCCGTGTTCGAATAAGGAATTCCGTGTTTGAACACGGAAATTCCGTGTTCTAACAAGGAATTCCGTGGTCGAACACATAATTTTATATTCGAGCTACAGTATTTATTGGTATATGTACGGCAGCGTAGAAGCGTAGATGCGAATATTTTGGTATAAGTATATTTTTCATCAGGTGTCATCATTTTTCGAAATATGACGCCATCACTAGTTTTTTAAGTAGCACCACCATTTTTTGATAATACCATTTAATAGAAATACAAGCAACAACATTTTTAACCGGTCCTCCATTTCTTTACTTTTTTCGAGAGATAACTAATAATTGGATTTAGAAAACACCACCTCACTTTATCCCTCTCTTATCTAGGCTAGAGAGGCAATGAGAGTAAATTTAAAACACTATACAGGGTGTTATTTTAAATCGATTTAAATGAAATTTGGGCATCAGGGACTAGAGCCTAAGACATAAGACTGACCTGGAAATAAAATTAATGGAAAAATATTACTATGCAGGGGACAAAGAGGGCAAGACTTTTGATACTACTTCCTTGAGAAAATAGGATTGGAAGGGTCGCTATAGGCATTGAGACATTTCCTTAGTGTAGTGGCGACAGAAGGGGGCACAATAGATCTTTTAGGTCGCAGTGTATTAACACCCCATTATCACCATAACATACTACTTCCGTCTCTTTTTTAAAAAATCGGCAAATGTAAAAATCTGAGGATATTCAAAGAATCTGTATTTACCCATCCCTCACAAAGATCCTCAAGTCACCCAAAAGCAACCTGTAAATACTTTATTTAAATTTATAGTTCGAAAATAAAATTCCGTGTTCGAACAAGGAATTCCGTGTTCGAACACGGAATTCTTTGTTTGAACACGGAATTTTAGATTTCTGTGTTCGAACAAGGAATTCCATGTTTGAACAGGGAATTCCGTGTTCGAATACAGAATTCCGTGTTCGAATACAGAATTCCATGTTCGAATACGGACTTCTTTGTTTGAACACGGAAATTCCGTGTTTGAACACGGAATTTGAGATTTCCGTGTTTTAACAAGAAATTCCGTGTTTGAACAAGGAATTCCGTGTTCGAATACGGAATTCTGTGTTTGAATACGGAATTCCGTGCACGAACAAGGAATTCCGTGTTCAAACACGGAATTTTAAAAATAAAAAAAAAATTAAAAGTGTGGCCCTTCTACGCTGCCGTACAAAATTGTCTTCTTTGAATTAATTTGTAGATTCTTACGTTTATCTTCTAAATATTAACAATCAGTCTTCAGTCTGTTTCACTAATATTGGTGATTCGAATACGAATCCTTAAGAATTTCTTCGGAGAATCCGGATCACGGATCCTTTTTTTCTTACGTATTCGAATACTGCTCGCGGATCCTCAAAGAGGATTCGAATCCTATGTGATTCGAATCCTCCCCAGCTCTGCCATTTACCTACTTCTTTTGCAGCAAAATTGAAAGATGCCTTAACAAGGCTTAACCAACAAAATTAATCCGGCCATCGATAAGTCCACCAGCTGCAATATCTCAAAATAACTAGGTTATGTTTTCTAATTACTATATTTAATTTTCGCATGATTGTTTAATAAATACACGCTTCCAAATCGATCATATGAACCGCTAAATTTAAAGTACTGTGTTTTCAATAAGACTATTTGTAATTTAAAGTTTCAGCTGTAACTGAATATCTTAGAGTGAGCATCGATTGTAAATAAATAATTTTTGAATTTATATATAAAACTTTTAACTTTCTATATACGGCTTTACTATTTAAATTCAATCTACAAAATCGTTCATACACATTCTTGTAAAATGTTTTGATTCTCTACGTACAAACTACACAGGTAACTAAGTTAGGTTAATTATAATATTAAAACTTTAAAGATGTTATTTAGCTAAAACGAATGAAAATAACGACAATAAAAATTCAAATTAAAACTCATTTTAAATTAAAAAAATATATATTTTTTTATTTACTTCTATCTAGTTGGTGTATGTTTATAACGAACAGTTTTTAAATGCTGGGGATTACTGTCAATAAGTTTGATGTTAATATATTATTTTTTAATAGATTCTGAAAATAAATAATGAATTAAAATTAAGGATATCGGCAGATTTATTAAAACAAATATATTATTGTGTTTAAGTTGTAATGTCGAAGCAAAAGGACAAGTGATTGACAGGCGAGTGCTGACATAATGATGTTCATTGTTGCCAACTTTATATTTAAACAGTGTCATTACTAACTAAGCATTAAATAATAATAACAACAACAAAAATAATATAGGTCGACATTGTACTGCTTATAAATTTGTTTATATAAGTTATAATTTTTATTTTTTAAGATAATATCTACTAGATTACCTACTATTAAAATAAAACTTATAGTATTATTTATTTTTCCTAAATATCTATATATAATTAATGGTACATGTACAATCAGGCAAAATCCTATTCGAATATTTAAATAACCTATGACACACGATACCTAATGGCAAATTAAATAATTGCCACCTTACAATAAAATTTAAATTTATAATAATTTCAAAATAACTTAATTTTAAAACGAATCACAGCTTAGTCTACAGGTTTCCAATTAACCACTGCTCTTTGGTCATCTGGTGCTAGTCCAAAAGGTTTGGTGTTATCGCTTGCGACGAATTGGTTCACTTGGTAGTCCAACATGGTTTGGTAGTTGTAGATCGCACTCAGTTGCTGAAAATAAAATTTTGACATTAGTGAAATAATCGAAAAATAATAATTAATTAAATTCATGATGGTAAATAGTAAGAAAGCATAATATGAAGGAAGCCAGAGAGAAAGCAAACATAAATTTCAATAGACTATATATAAATGATAAGATGTTATATACAGTAGAAGATTTAGGTTATGGAAAGACAATAGCACGTCTAACAAAGAACCAATGGAAAGAGAAAAAGTTGGAAGAACATTCAGCGGAAGATCACCAGTTAAGAAGGTAGAACAGTATGATAACGAAAAAAACAAGAAATAAGGAGGACACTCCAAAAAACTAGCAGACAATATAGGGAAAGAAAAGGAAAACAAAAGACAGGTACTGGACAAGAAACAGAAACAAAGACTAATAAAAATAAAGCAGAGAATGCTGAAAGAAAAAAGATAGAGAAAAGAAAAATAGAAGAAAATGCCGAAGTGAATTGAGAATAAGTACCTGGAATATTAAAACAATGTTAGAACCTGGAAAAATGCAAGAAATACGAAAATAACTCAATAGATATGGCACAGGTGTTGCGGCAATTCAGGAAATAAGATAGGAAGGCAAAAGAATAATTGAGAAAAAAGATTTACGTTACATTATTCTGGGAACGAAAAAAGGTACACTATGGGGTAGGATTTATGATGCTGGGTGATCTACAAGGTAAAAAACAATAGAATTTAACCTAATGATTGAAATATTAGTCTACGCACATCAAAACCATTCTATATATCATTGCTTGATAAGTACGGTACATAACTTTAGGAGCATATTCTGGAGCTAAAATAAAGGTATTTTTGTCATATACACTATGTCTCAAAAATGCTTCGTTACGAAAATACAGGGTGTGAAAGTTTCTTAAAAAAATACACTGGTTAAACGAAAACCACTGTGTTTACAGTAAAATACGCAAAGTTGCTAACTCTCAAAAGCTGCAAAAATGTAATTAAAATATCTCAAGTAGTTTTGGAAATATTTAAAAAATTGTATTTTTTTTATGAAAGTATTTTTAAGACATAGTGTATATGTATATTTTAGTTCCAGAATACACTCCTGAAGTTATGTACTGTACTTATCGAACACCCTGTATACACTCTACGGAAAAAACAAACCAAATGAGAAAGATAATGAAAGAGAAGAAATAGAAAAAATGCCAAAGATGTAATGATAGTGCTTGTAAATTTTATTGCAAAAATAGGCAAATAAGTTTATATAGAGCAAGCAGTAGGGAAATACACCAGACACGAAAAAACAAACGAAAACGGACAGAAGTTATGTAGCCTGTCAACACAAACAAATTATGATCATAAGCTCTACAAAATTTAAACATGCAGGAATTGACTTGGAATATCACCTGATGATTATGAGAGCATAATTAGGATCAATTAAAATCACAGAAGAAGAATACATAATTCGAATAAATGTAGAAATTAAGCAAGAGCTAGAAAGCATAATAACAAAACTAAAACAATTCAAAGTTAGATGGTTAGGATACGCTTGAAGAGCAAGAAATAGAACTTTGGTACATTCTGTGTTACAATGAAGGGAGAAAGAGACGTGGAAGACAAATATCAAATGGCTGACGGAAGTGAAAGAAGATCTAGGCAGGGCAGGAATGAATAATTGGCAAGAAAAAGTACAGAATAAGAAAAATGGAACATTGCAAAGAATATTATCTAAGAGAATGGAATTGATCCATCCAAAAAATGGATCTTAAGAGCGAACGGCGGCTTAGCCCCATTAGGGGCTTTTTTGGCCACATTATATATTTTTTAATCTATGTACGTACGTATATAAGTATATAAGTTAAACGGGTCTATTTTGTAAAAATGTTGTTAAAATTAACCCTATGTTATAAAAATAACCGTATGTTATTTTTAATTTTGTAATCTGTATTATATGATTAAAGTTATATGTCAAATATATTCTTTTTCTTATTTTTAATGCTTTGTTGGGCTTAATTTCAATACACTCTTAGATAGGTTACATCGATACCATATCTATTTTAATCGGGGCTGGTTATAAAATAACTAATAACAGAAACTAAACCTAATGGAATACCGAGTAAAACTCAAACGTTATAGTTAAAAAATAGTCTTTTAACCTGGCTGTTAAAATTAACTAAACTGTTGATTTTTTTTTTAAGTTACCTGGGTGAGAGGACTGGTATTTGTTGTGAAAATCCCTCTAAAATGCCTGTTTTTAGCAATGTCTATTACTTCGGCTTCAATGAATTGCATCACAGCTACATTTTCCTTTGGCGTTAAAGATGCATGCGTTGCCATCATAAATGAATGAAGAATGGCTCCTTTTCCAGGTGGAAGTTGTTGGTCTCTAAAATATCAATTTATGGTTTCATAAAAGAGAAATATGTATATTTTGATGCAATTCAAAAGATAGTTATGAAAGTACCTAAAAAAGTAAAAGGAGTAGTCCAAATTTAAATATTTTGGATTCTCTAATAAGCCAATGTTCCTCATCATGTCTTATTTACTTGGTAAGTGACAAAAAAGTAATGTAAAAGGAAAAAAAAGGATGTTTGATCACCGGGAAGAATATACACACAACCGATACGCACTTTGGTTGTTTGAGTTATTTTGGGTAGTACTGTTACTCAAATAATATCTTCAGAGGTAATTTTTTGCAATAAGTGTCAGAACTATCCCAGATCGGGTTCTCGGTGGTTTTCGAGGTCGCTAATCACGATTATGATGTCTAAATTGACCCAGAGCCGACCTAGAGCTCAGGAACGTCGACGAACGTCATCTTCGTGGGACTGTCCCAAAATGCACGCGGGGAAGGAGGGCAAGTAGGCGATCGGGGTTTTTTTGGGTCGCTGAATCCAAATATGGCATTGGCGAATACCCCCCCGGACACCTTGTGAGCCCAAACCTCGACCTGGACGTCATCTCCGAGAATTTTCCTCACAATATCGACAACAACAACAACCCGAAAATGATTGGGCGCAGTTTTTTGGGGCGCTGAATCTAAATTTCACGTCGAAAACGACCCCCTGAACACCTGGTGCACCGGAACTTGGCCCTGAACGTCATGCCCGAGGGGTTTCCAGACACACTTGAAAAAGACGAACCGAAAATCGTTCCGGGGGGTTTTTTGGGGCGCTGAACCCGAATTTCACGTGGAAAACGACCCCCCAACACTTGGTGCGCCCTAAATTGGCCCTGAACGTCTTCACCGAGGTTCTTCCAGACCCAATTGAAAAAGACGAACCGAAAATCGTTAAAGGGGGGGTTTTGGGTCGCTGCATTCAAATATGGCATCGGCGAACACCGCATGGACACCTGGTGCGTCTGAACCTAGACCTGGACGTCATCTGCGAGGCGCCAATACTGCAATAGCTGTGTGCAATTGTTGAAGTTAGATTACGTGAGGAGGAAAGAAAGAGAATGAATAGAAACACAATATTTATGTAATTTACGGTAAAACAATTTTTATTGGTCTCAAATCGAATACAATGAACCTGTAAGTTTGTAATTCCTTAATTAATTAATTAATAACTCTCATGTGTCTGGTTATTTTCTTCGTCATCGACTGATGTATTCATACGGGGAACATCTCCCTCATCTGAGGCCTCTGTCTCTGGCACATTAACGTTTTCATCTGAATATCTTTCAGTGTTAAGGCAAGTTGAACCTTCACAAATTTTACAGGCAAGATTGCAAGGTAGGCCGTGCTTCCTGCAACTACAGGTGTTCAGATTACAATCTTCTTTGCATCCACAGAATATCAGTTCCATAATATTCTTTTTCAATTGGGTCTGGAAAACCTCGGTGAAGAAGTTCTGGGCCAGGTTAGGGCGCACCAAGTGTTCGGGGGGTCGTTTTCCACGTGAAATTTGCATTCAGCGCCCCAAAAAACCCCCCGGAACGATTTTCGGTTCGTCTCTTTCAATTGTGTCTGGAAACCCCTCGGGGATGACGTTCAGGGCCAAGTTCCGGTACAACAGGTGTTCAGGGGGTCGTTTTAGACGTGAAATATAGATTTAGCGCCCCAAAAAACTCCGCTCAATCATTTTTGGGTTGTTCTTGTCGATATTGTGAGGAACATTCTCGGAGATGACGTCCAGGTCGAGGTTTGGGCGCACCAGGTGTCCGGTATTCGCCGATGCCATATTTGGATTCAGCGACCCAAAAAAATCCCGATCGCCTAGTTGCCCTCCTTCCCCGCGTGAGTTTTGGGAGAGTCCCACGAAGATGACGTTTGTCGACGTTCCTGAGCTCCAGGTCGGCTGTGGGTCAATTTAGACATCATAATCGTGATCAGGGACCTCGAAAACCCCCGAGTACCCGATCTGGGTTAGTTCTGACACTTATTTAACAAGTTTTAAAATCATCCAAGAGGCCTCTCAAATAATGCATTTTTTTTAATGCATTTTTGGCTGCAGCAATGCAATTTCCGGTTTGTATGACCCGGAAATTACGGGGGAATGATACAAATAATTTTTGCAAGCGAATGCAAAAAACCGCATTCCGATCCTTTGGCCTTTTTAGTGCTTCATTGCTTCGACTATCTGTGTTTATCAAATTTATCTTCTTTATTTTTGAATATAATTATTATTTACTAGATTTGTTGTTTTTGTATAGTAAAGTTGATTAGTGTATTAAGTGGACGTTTTGTTAGTTTTTTATTGGCTTTTCCCTAACAAGAGATATGATTTTCAACCACTAAAAAATATATAGGTTTTAGATATGCATTATCTCCACTTAATACAAAATTGGAGATAAAATTCTCGATATCTAAGGAACAGAATTACTTTTTTGTTACTCCTGTAAAATATTGAACGAAAGAAAAAGTATCCGATACTAGGATCCATTTCTTTAATACAAAAAGTTTACTCTAATACCTTATTGGACCCTCAAGTGTTTCCAAAAACTCGAATATCACAGTCAATTTTGATGTTATTTCTACTTCCGGTTCGTCCCTAGCATCGAAGTTCAAGGCCACGCCGACGATTTTGCCGTGCTCGTTTTTTATGATGAAGCTCAAGTTTTGTTCCAAAAGCGGTTCCCACAGTTTGTCGATCAATTCGGCATAGTCGGCAGGTGATATATCGGATTTGATCCATTGCTCCAAATCGGCCTTCTGGTAGAAACTGGTTGTTACCATTCTGAAATAAATTAATGATTATAATTATTGTGTAGAAATAAAAAACCCATAATGAAGTATTATATGATTTGGGTGTTATTCAATACAATTAAATAGTATTCTAGAAGGATTCTAGAAAAATATCTACTTTATTCTGCTGAGTATATTTATGTACAAGGAAATAAAAAAATGGGTTTTTACAATCAAAATTCCAGGAAATTTAAGACTATCCAGAGTATCCAGCCTTCTTTGATGCATCGAAATATGATGAGCCCTTCTGTATTATTTTAAATTCATAATAGTTATTTTTTAAATTTATTCATATACGTTCATCCCTCTCATCATTTACATCCCTAATTTTTTGCGCATTCTTCGTCCGTCCACATCTTAATTATTACTATTATTATTATTATTATTATTATTATTTACTGACATGAGCTGAGAACCGAAATCCTATAAAGCTCATATTATCCAAAAATTTTAGTTAAAAATAAACAATTTTTTTTTCTATAAACTATAACTACTATAAATTGATTATAAAAAAAATAAAAGTATAAAGACAATAAATTACGTTAAGTTACATTACTAATTTGTTGGGATTATAATTTATTGTGTCTATACAGATATATACATACTTAGTCTAATGAATCTAATTTATTTTTAAACGAGTTAACTAAAGGTGCGCATACAACGTTATCAGGTAAATTGTTCCATACAGAGAAAACTCGGTTTGAAAGAAAATTTTGCCTAACTCTAGAGTTAAAATTTTCCTTTTTTTATTTTGAACATGTGCCCACGTAGGCGAAGGTCATATTTTTAATATAAATAAATCCGAAAGGATCGAACACCCGAACATGTGCATAATTGCGCGAAAATAAACGACTAAATCAATACGCAGTCGACGCTCACTAAAAAGAGTCAAATTACTGTACTTCTTGATGCCCTCTTCTTCTTCTTCTTCTTCTTCTTCTTTCTTCTTCTTCTTCTTCTTCTCTTCTTCTTCTTCTTCTTCTTCTTCTTCTTCTTTCTTCTTCTTCTTCTTCTTCTTCTTCTTCTTCTTCTTCTTCTTCTTCTTCTTCTTCTTCTTCTTCTCTTCTTCTTCTTCTTCTTCTTCTTCTTCTTCTTCTTCTCTTCTTCTTCTTCTTCTTCTTCTTCTTCTTCTTCTTCTTCTTCTTCTTCTTCTTCTTCTTTCTTCTTCTTCTTCTTCTTCTTCTTCTTCTTCTTCTTCTTCTTCTTCTTCTTCTTCTTCTTCTTCTTCTTCTTCTTCTTCTTCTTCTTCTCTTCTTCTTCTTCTTCTTCTTCTTCTTCTTCTTCTCTTCTTCTTCTTCTTCTTCTTCTTCTTCTTCTTCTTCTTCTTCTTCTTCTTCTTCTTCTTCTTCTTCTTCTTCTTCTTTCTTCTTCTTCTTCTTCTTCTTCTTCTTCTTCTTCTTCTTCTTCTTCTTCTTGAGTCTCCAGAGACTTCTTCAACGTCTCCTCTGGTCCTACGCTACTTTTTCGGCTCTTCTTCTTGTTCGTTTTCTTTTTGAGTCTCCAGAGGTTTCTTTAATGTCTACTCTTGTCTTACGTCACTTTTCCCGCTCTTCTTCATCTTCCTCTTCTTTTTCTTAGAGTCTCCAGATGCTTCTTCAGAGATAACATAATCCTCAAAGATTGACTGGTAATTATAATCTTAAATATTTTCATATTATCGGCAACAAATTTTAATGTAATAATATTTTTTTTAATTATTTAAGTTAAATTTTATTTTTAATACTAAGTGAATTAAATTACTAATAAAATTAGCTTTCGAATGAGGTGTTATAAATCAATACTAGCACATGTAACAACTTTAGAAACTATGCCGTCAATTCTTGTTTTTACAGGTGAGTACACATATAAGTTAAACGTACCACCAAAGATGGCCGCACATCAGCGGAGAGTGAGCAGCATTGTGGCAGGCCCCAAACTGCTCGGAGTGCAGCTAATGTTGAGAGGGTGCGAAATGTGATAATGGCAGATCGTCGTTTGACAGTGCGGGAGATTGCAGAAGAGGTTGGAGTGAATAAAAATTCTGCACATGCAATTTTGCGTAAAGATTTGAACATGGACCGGGTGGCTGCGAAATTCGTACCCAAGTTGTTGTCGCCGGAACAAAAATATCTTCGTTTTGACATTGCACAAAACCTTCTGGACACCGCCAACACTGATCCTGGGTTTCTGAATACCGTGATAACTGGAGATGAGTCATGGGTGTACGGGTACGACCCAGAAACAAAAAGACAGTCGTCGCAATGGAAGCATCCCGATTCTCCAAGGCCGAAGAAAGCGCGTCAGGTACGAAGCAAAATCAAAGTGATGCTGACTGTTTTCTTTAATGTCCGTGACAGTGACAAAGGAATACTATCAAGATGTTTTCCGGCGACTCCGTGACGCAGTTCGGCGCAAAAGACCAGACATGTGGACCGGCGAAACAACGCCCCTGCCATAGCCACCTAAACCACAAGCCGTGAAGCGTGAAATCTGGCATCGCCGCGGGTAGTCCTATGGGACCACACGACACAAAAACACCCCCGAAATAGGATAGATACGATTGCATATGATTCGACATAAGTGTGAAGTGAAAACTGCCGTTCTGTTTGTTAGTTTATTTCATTTAAAATAATATTAAATAGCTACTATTGAAAGTATTATAAGTAAATTATTTATAAGTTTATTCTGAAAAGGTAAGTTTCTATTAGTGCTAATGTACTAAGTACCGCATTTTTAAAAAATATTGAAGAAAATATGTTATCGACATTTCTAACCTCAATATTTTAATTTTAGGTGCCAAGACACTGCTGCGTACCAAAGTGCAATTCAAATTAAGCCAGTACTTTAAAAAAGGAAGAAACACAAAGTACATTTTCAATTTCCTAAAAAGGAGGAAATTAGAAAACAATGGATTAGTGCTATACATTGTAAAGACTATGTTAACTCAAATTCAGTAGTGTGTAAGAAACATTTTGATCAAACTGATATTATAGTAAATGAATTCTACATTGATAAAAACGGAATAAAACATGAAATTAAACTGAAGTATCCTAAATTAAATGAAGGTGCAATTCCAAGAATTTTTGAAAACCATCCTCAGTATTTTTCAAATTAAAAAAATGCAGAAAGAAGAGATCCTGAACAAAGGAGAGCTGAAATATTTGAGAAGTTGCAGAATTTTTAGATGCTGATCTAATTAAAAATTTTGTGAATTATTTGGACAAGTGAATGTGAAAGTTATTTTAAATAATTGGAATGTAAAAATTTGACCAAAAAGGGTTTACTTTTACATGCTCAATACTCCAGATTGTTCCGATGAGTGTCCTAAAATTATTTCTAGCATAAGTGTTAATATGGATTTAAATGTGTCAGTGTTTACTAATGACGTGCAACTATCATCACGGGATTTAAAATGGATTTTACCACATGCATGCAAATTAGGTAGGTGGTTGCAACTCCAGAATTTATTATCAAGATATTCTTATAGCTTAAAAAATTCTGTGAATATTAATTTTTATATTTTAAAGGCTTCAAATATTATTGATGCCATTATTAATCATTTAAGTGATGATGAAAAAAAAGCAACCTTTGAACTAATTAACAATCAATTATTATTATTAAAAAAAAGATATTCATTGTCAACAATTTTACTCTCACTAACTATATTTCATCAGTCACCTTCTGCCTACACATATTTAAAAAAATTTCTCAACTTGCCTACTAAAAGTTATTTGCAAATAATAACTTCATCATTCCAGTTATCCCCTGATGGAAACTTGGAGGATGATTATTTTTCATACCTTGCTTCACACCTCAATAACAGAGAGAAGGTTGTAAACTTATTAGTTGATGAAATATATGTCAAAGCGGGTTTATTGTATATCTGAGACCATAAACTTTTATATGTACTTACAATACAACATAGTTCAGTACAATATTATATCTTATTATCTCACTTTATATTATACATTATTAGTTATTATTGAAAATTTGAGGAATACATACGAATTTCTATGTTTCCTACATTTTTTCTCTAAAATTCGTTCATTGTACCTCTGAGACCATAAACTTTCATGTGTACACTGTAACACAGTTCAGTACCAATATAACTTATTACCTCATACTATAATATATTAGAAATTGTTAGTTATTATTGAAAATTTGAGAGAAAATGTACATGAATTTTCATATTTCCAACATTTTTTTCTACTCTTATATATTCGTTCATTGTATATTTGAGACCAGAAACTTTTATAAGTACTTAAAATATAATATAGTTCAGTATTATATTTTTATCTCACTTTATATTATTCATTGTTAGTTATTATTGAAAAGTTGAGGAATACATATATGAATTTCCATGTTACCAACATTTCTTTTTCTACTTTTATACATTCGTTCATTGTTTATCTGAGACCATAAACATATGTACTTACAATATAATATAATTCAGTATTATATTTTATCTCACTTTATTATTAGACATTGTTAGTTATTATTAAAATTTGAGTAAAACATGTAAGAATTGTGGTTCAATGGAATTCATCGTCGAAAATTGAGAAAATTTTTTTTTTGTGTTTTATTGATAACATTAAAGTTAGTCAATAACTACTAAATAAAAATTAAAAAAGAGAAAAATGGTACTTTTAACTATTTTGTCGTTCCCTATTTATATATTAATAGATATTTATCAATGTGAGATTAAATTTTATAAATACTTATGAGTTGTTTTATTTATTTGTTTAACCTGTTTGTTCTATAATTTGTTTATAAATAATTTAAACGACAGATACATTCATTTTTAAGTACGTGAGTATCAATTTTATTTCTGAATCTAACCCTATTCTAAATGATCTTGAAATTAAATTTTCAAAAAGTTTTACCAATATCTTTTATTACCCAATTATTTTTTAATAATTTTTTTTAAGATTTTTGTATTGTTTTTCCCTCTATGGTTAAGTATTCAACACAACATTAAATACATAAAACGGTTAAGTCAATTCACGTGAGTTCAGAGCACATAACACAGGACTACTTCAGTCAGCTGATGCGCCGTTGCCTTTTTCATTGCATGGCTTGTAATTTTAGGAGGCTATGCCCCTGCACATTCATCTCAACTGATCAACACTTTCTTAGCCAAACATGGAATTACAACCGTTCTTCAACCTCCCTACTCTACAGACCTGGCTCCTTGCTATTTCTGGTTGTTTCCAAAATTGAAAACGCAACTGAAAGGAACTTGTTTTGAGAGTAGAGAAGAGATAATGCGGAACGCGACGGCGGAGCTGAACACCATTCCAAAAGAAGACTTCCAGAGGTGTCTCCAGCAGTGGAACGATCGGTGGGCTAAGTATGTGCAAGCACTTTGAAGGAGATTAGGGTCCCTACTCCGTCAGGTATTCGAAATATTTTTTCTGGCCAAAGGTCGGATATTTTGTAGATAGGCCTCGTATACTAGGTACTTACTCATTAACGATGTTTTTGTAGTTTGGTGTTAAAAATTCTCGAGAAAAACTGGGTGCTTGTATATTGATTGAGCTACTAGAAGTCATTCGGAGTAAAATTTCTCCAAAATCCATTGCAGAAAGAAAATCACCTATCCCTAAAAATAATTTTTACATTAATACATAAGTTATCTAATCTTAAAATGTTTATGTCATATTTAAGTACAAAAATTTCGATTACACAATTAAATTAGGTAGATAGGAACATGCACATAACTTATAGACCGCTGTCAACTAGCAACAGCATTATTTCCACTTCTGTTTGCTCACACACATACGCTCAGATACAAATTGATGCGCGGCTATCGACAGCGATGTTTGTTATTTGCATGTTCCTATTATAGCTTATTCAATTCACTCTGAAGTAGAGTTGTTTTAAAAATGTTCGTAACTGTAGAATAAATTTAAGTATTTTATAAAAACTTACTGATATGATAACCTTGTTCGCTTAATTTCGAGATTGTGTATATTGAATTCAAAGAATTTCCTCCGATATCAAAGAAATTGGAATTTACAGAAATTTCCGTTCTGATAGCTCTGTTCAGTACACATGCAACTGTTTCAAATAATACTTTAGCTGCTTCTAGTTGGTGAGGGGGTACATTCTCATAGTTTATTTTTATTTCGGGTTCAATATCAGCTAAAAAAAAAATAATAAAAAAAAAAATAAGTAAAAGTGGCTGTGGACGCGAGGACAGAGCGCTTGCCTTCCACACGATAAGTCAGGTATCGAATCTCGACTAATTAAATATAATTCTTTAATTTTAATTTAATTTAAAAATCAGTAATAGTCATATATTATTTTAAAATGACTTATTTTGTCTTAATAACCTAAATTATTTTTTTAAATTAGAATTTGTAGATTTTTGTTAGTGGATCATAGAAAAAATATACTGTACAACTCAAGTGGATTGTCCATATAGCACTCAGATAATTAAGCACTCAACCTTCGTCTTCGTGCGATATGGCCATCATATCCACTATTTTCCAAAGAAAGTATAAAGTTGAAATAGCCATAAATAATCTAAACCCTATTTTTAATATCCATTTGATATTTTTTACTATTTTTTGGATACCTATAGAAAACAAAATAATATAATTGATGATTAAAAAAAGTTTTGAAATTTGAATGAAAAGGATAAAACAAAGTGTAAAAACGATTGAAATAACCATAAACATTATAAACAATCCAAAAATCTTCTGATTCATCGGGTTCGCTTTAAAAAGAAAGATTGCTGAACTGAATTTATGATCTTTAGTATTTTACTTACTATCTTGATTCTTTTCATAAGACTTCAATAAATACTGTCTATCAATTTTGCCGTTTATTAGCAGAGGAATTTTTTCAACCAATATAACTTGAGGTATCATGTACGAAGCAAGTTTTTCTTTTAATTCGTCTTCAATTTGTTGCTCATTCAAAGGATTATCTGTCGTTACAAAAGCGATGAGTGCTTGATTCATTTCTCCTGGTTTGTAACATAAAACGACACCCTTTTCTACCTAAAACAATAATTGAGTTATTATAGGAAAATAAAAGAAAATGATTCATTAAATCGGGTTGGAGTTGAATCTTATACCTCAAAATAACTATTAGTATGATAAATACACATCAAAGGTCATAGGACCAGACCAAGGGAGTATCATGTCTAAATCCGATATCAGTTGTCATGAGATGCATACATATATTTTCTACCAGTTTTTTAGAAATATTAGACATTTAAAAATTTTAATTATTCTTTTAAAATGAGAGTTTAAATAATAGTCTGCGTTAATATCTACATATATTTCAAAAACACCCTGTGTTCTATTCAAAAACAATGTAAATTCCTCTATTAAAGAATAGAATTAATCTTTTTACGAACCACCAGACACTACCGACCACTTACCCCTTCCAACGCGTTGACGGCTTTTTCAACTTCGGCCGTATCCACCCTGTGCCCTCTGATTTTAACCTGAGAATCCGTGCGACCTTCGTAATACAGCAATCCCTTCTCTAAGCGGGCATAGTCCCCGGTGCGATACAGTTTCCCGTAAGTGGGATCGATTGCTAATGGATTGTCGAGGAACTTTTCCGGATCGCGTCCGTTGACGTAGCCGGCAGCAAGATTCGAACCGGAAACGAACAGCTCGCCGATGTCACCGGCTTTTACCGGCCGGAAATCTTTGTCCAGCAAGTAAAGGATGGTGTTGTCGAGCGGGATACCTGAAAACACGGAAAAAATATGTTACAACACGAAAGAAATCATTTAATGCCCGACACAGAGAACCCCATACATGAAACTAAGAAGAGAATAAAGTAATACTCAGAAATACTTAAAAACCCGGAGATAAATTGGAACTTGTCATCTTCTTCAACTATCTGGGAATAGTAACTAATTATTTCCTATGGAAAGGTATTAAACGGTTAGGTTTTCTGTAAAATAATTATATTTAGTTATTTGTATTCTTAATAGTTGGTAATATTGGTTGAGTGACATTCCATCTTGTCAAAAGTCAAGTATGAAAACTATTGCGTCATGTACAGTTCATCAAATTTCTAGAGGCTTTCGACGGCTAGACAGAGAAAGCACTACTGACAGGCATCCCGACGGATTTACGCAATGAAAGTACACTCTGCGCATCAAGTATTTCACTATTTCATTCAGACGTAAATGTCAGATGTAAATTTCGCTAAAACATTTCTTTTATTTTCGTTTGTGTTTTTTGCTCATTACAGTTTAATAGAACCTAAGTATGGAGTTTAATAGCAAATTAAGAGGCCGCGTGATTAACAGTCAATCTCGCGAAATAATAGCCAATGTTATAGAGTTTATGAGAAGAGAAGGAAACTTTAATTCACCTTCAATACCATTTAAAAATGTAAATGATCGTGTTGCTGCAGCCACAGGAGTATCTAAAAACACTGTCGTCCGCATTTCTGGAGAGAAAAAAAGAATCGATAACCGTGAGATATCGGAATTTTCATCACCAAGAAAAACCATTAAAAAACAAAAAACAGTTAATGATATAGATGAAGCTGCACAAGAATCAAATTTTATTTTTTTATTATTAGATAGCTATTTTTGTTTCTGAGTTGTGTTCATTTACAGGCTCAATTTTTTTCCGTTTCTCCTTTTTGATTTTATATGGGGTTTCAGTTGTTTTTTGACTTATTTCGACGTAAATCACAACAACACACTTTTTTAATAAAGCAAACAAGTGTTAAGAGGTATATGTACGTGTAAACTACAATTACAAAAAATTGATATGAAACCCATGAAACCACCAACAAAAATGTAAAGCTAGCTTCCGTACTAGAACATAGTGTCATTCGTCGAGATAATTTATCGTTTTGTTTAATAGATCAAGAAATGTAAATATTCCCCTGTTATTTTTTATAAAATTATAAGAGAAATAATTTTTTTTCTAAATAGTATAGTTTATTATTTTGTAGAAAAACAAAATTTTGAAAATTTTAGTAATGTTTCAGAAACAACCGTTATTAATAATAGGTACCATTTTCCTTAATAAGGTAGAAATAAAATATAAACTATTTCCACGATTTACAAAGGCCTACAAAAAAATTATAGGTATTTTCCGCTATCCTATAAAATTTATATTTTCTGACTCAATTTCAAAAGGTTGAAGGAATTCCAAAACACCTTTAATGGCATAATAATTATTTTCAATTCTACATACTATCTTTAGCTGCTTTTAAAAACGTTCTAAGAAAGTCCAGTCAGACCAATTTAATCCCTAAACTATTCCACACTTTTAAAATTTAATTACCTAAAAATATTAAAAACTATTTAAAATAACTTGTTTAGCAGACTGTACAATAGCTATCTTAGTCACACGTAGCGCGTTCTCTGTCTGGGCGTCGAACACCTCTAGAAATTTGATGAACTGTACTTCCTTTTATGTTTGTTTCAATGATTCAATTGAGTTGAGTTGTCTTGTAATGCAAACGTTATTGTTAAATTATAAGCTTATTTTATTGGTGCCGAGAGAAAAAAGTTTGTACATTGTTTCTATCATCTAAGCAAAAAATTAAATCGCAAATTTTCATACTGCAAGTCTTAATTACAACAAAATAGTGAAACACAATTTACTGCAAGCTCCAGTCAGTATAGTACGAGGAACTATTGGTAGTCTTTTAGAAAATAAAAGTGGGAACGACTGGTCAGTGTATTAAAAACGTTTGGAACAGTATTTCATAGCGAATTACATAAAAGAGAACAGACAAGTATCAGTTTTATTAAATGTGTTAGGCGACCAAGGTACTTGAAGTACTGTGTGATGTAAAGTTACCTGAATACAATTCATTTACATGTTAAGTAGGTACCTCAAAAATTAGTTTTCAAAGAAGGTATCCGTATTTAAATAAATAATTGACACAACTATATTGAGTCAGCAAGAGGCTTCTTCATAAGAATCAATAAGAAAGGTTAGGTGAGGTTAGGTTGAAAATGAGTGAGATGATCTCATCGCCTTGCACGGGTCTATTGTGGCTCATAAGTAACTTATAGTGCCCGTACAAGCCACACCTTTTGATGTACATAGGTCACGGTTGAATTGGGTGAGACTTTTTTAAAGTCGGTAGGCTCCAGTCGGGTAAATCCGATGATTTGGAACCTGGTTCTTTTCAGAGCAGAGCAGGTACATAGAATGTGCTCTGCAGACTCGTCTTCCACGCTGCAAAATCGACAGTCTGATGTTTATTGCAGACCTATCCTTCTCATGTGGTTGCCCAGACGGCAGTGTCCTGTCATCAGTCCAGTGAAAATGCGTAGATCTTTCCTACTTTATAGAAGGGTTGGTTATAAACGCCTTCGAATGGGTTAGCCATAAGGTATCTCTCCAGTTCGTGAGTGTTGCTCCATCCATTTTGAGATAATTCCTTTGGCAGGGCTCTTTGCAATGCCCAGGAATGGTTCTGGTCCTATGAACACAGATTCGGTTCCTCTTTTAGCAAGCGCGTCGGCTTTTATGCCTGGCTATCTGAAAAGATCGTTATAGTCTTGTTTGCGGGGAGAAAATTAATCAACTCTCTCGCTCCCAATTCTATAGCAATCATTTCTGCGTGAAAGATCGTGTCCAGAGAGCCTAGGTTTATTGATATGTCAACTCTAGGCCTCTGGCCTTCAACTTTATATCAAACTTCTAGCAATAAAGCTGTGGAAAATTTGTTCAAATCATTAAAATATGCATCGGATAAGATGTTATTAGATTCCAAGCAAAAAAGTGATTTGTCTGACTTAATAAATATTTGTTATCTTATAGAATAGGGACAAAGTGGTTGAATTTATGTAGAAAGGGAAATTTTCTGCTAGGGATTATAGGGTAAATCCTCAAAAGCCAAAATGGGGAATTGAATGAATCGGGCATGCGCTCATAGTATGAATTGGAAATTTTTACCACCAACAAAGCTAATAAAAACGTTATTCATTATTCTTGAATTACAACTGTGTTTTATTGGTGCTAGGAACACTACAAGAAAAAAATTATTTATTGATCAACTTCTAATCAGGTGAAGTGGTTGAAAAAAAATTAAGAAGTAATAATATCTGAAATCATATTCTTACCAATTGGAACCTTATCCCTGTGCTGGAATTGATCAACTTCTGTAATGACGTGATATGTCACATCTCCCATGATTTCCGTACTTCCATAAAAATTACAGAGTTGATACTCGTTTTCAGGGAAATAGTGATAGAATTCCTTTACTAAGGACACGACCAAAGTCTCACCGGAACACACCCAGGTTTTCAGATGTCGTAAGAGGGATTTATTTTTCTAAAACAACAAAATATTAGCAAAACTAGGAAGTTTTGTTTAATTAGAAATTAAAGACACAATTCAGTAATTAATTCCTCAAAAGGGGGTGGGTTGGCTCAGTGGTTAGAGTCATGGCTTTGAGATCGCAAGGTCTCAGGATCGAATCCCACCGTTGGCCGGAATTTTTTCATTTAATTTAATTATTTAAAATTAATTCTGATGCCTTGGTAGGATTCCCCACTCGACCATTCACTGTTGGGTTCTAATTAACAGTGCTGTTCCTAAAGTGGCGCTAAGAAACAGTAACAAAGCCTACACAGAACACGAGGCTAATGGCCGTAGTAGTCGACGCCGATGACACCAAATAAAAAAAAAAAAAAATTCCTCAAAACCAGGAGGGAATCAAACCCACGATCTTTGATATACCGTACCCAATAACTTAACCAGAAGGGTATTAATTACTCAATGCTTACACTGTGATGTAGCAGTTAGGATATTACTACGGTATACCAAAGTTCATTCTCATCATTCGTTAATGTTGAGGAATTTAAAACTAATGGAATTTACGAGACATTTGACATATGACATATGATAGATGACAAGTGTTGAGATATGGATGCAATGTACAGAGCACACATGCTTCAAAATTTGAATTAATATTATTAAAAATTCAATAATATTATTATTTTAATATCCACCATCTACTTGAGACAAAAAACGTTTAAATAAAATTTTATATTACGTACTTACTTTCATTTCCAAAAACATTAGCATCGTCCTCAGCAACGATGGGACCAATATAAGACGTTCGATCTGAAAATGATTAATTTTTTTATAATATTCAAGATGAATATGTCAGCTAGGCATCATATTTTATACAAATTTCATACATAAGTTGGCAGGGTATTGGTTTCTTGAAGTTTTTTTTTCGTAGCTCCTTTAACATAGGAAACGGTGGATGATATATTGCTTTTTGTGATTTACTGTTTGAGGTCATTTATTGATTTTTCGACGTTGTTAGTTTTATAGAGAGAATTTTTTGAGAAAGACAGGCAGAATGTCCTTTGAACTCGTTAAATTATTATTTTTTTATTTATGATTTTTTTTTATTGTTTATACAAACGGCTACTAGTTTTGGCCTCTATGAGTCATCATCAGGACAACAATAAATATGTATATTATACTTAAGGGTAGGTCACAAATCTGCTATCTTAAATAATTTTACTCATCCTGAATCCAGAATGATTTGTTGTGGTTATTGAAAAAATTCAACTAAACCACAATTAAAAACTAAATCACAAGGGCACTTTTTTAATAATTATGTTTCTTTTGTGGATTCTCAGACAAATAAAAATATACCTATCATGTTACGGCCTTCACTGACTTCTAAGAAATTTTATCGTGTTTCTCTTTGTGTAGAAAAGCATATGGTTCATTTAAAATATTCAGTAAAACCTGTAATATTTATCGAGCTGTCAAACAACGCTATATCTGTTACTGTGAAGCTGATACATACAGTTGATACAGACAGTTGATACAGACAGTTGATACAGACAGTTGATACATACAGATAGTTGATACATACAGATAGTTGATACATACAGATAGTTGATACATACAGATAGTTGATACAGACAGTTGATACGAACAGACAGTTGATACAGACAGTTGATACAGACAGTTGATACAGACAGTTAATACAAACAGTTGATACAGACTGTTGATGTAGGCAGTTGATATTGACAATTGATATAGACAAAATAATAAAATAATAATAAAAGATTAATAGAAGAGTAAGAGGAGATTACTTAAAGATTATTAGAAGATTAATAGAAGATTAATAGAAGATTAATAGAAGATTAATAGAAGATTAATAGAAGATTAATAGAAGATTAATAGAAGATTAATAGAAGATTAATAGAAGATTAATAGAAGATTAATAGAAGATTAATAGAAGATTAATAGAAGATTATTAGAAGATTAATAGAAGATTAATAGAAGATTAATAGAAGATGAATAGAAGATTAATAGAAGATTAATAGAAGATTAATAGAAGATTAATAGAAGATTAATAGAAGATTAATAGAAGATTAATAGAAGATTAATAGAAGATTAATAGAAGATTAATAGAAGATTAATAGAAGATTAATAGAAGATTAATAGAAGATTAATAGAAGATTAATAGAAGATTAATAGAAGATTAATAGAAGATTAATAGAAGATTAATAGAAGATTAATAGAAGATTAATAGAAGATTAATAGAAGATTAATAGAAGATTAATAGAAGATTAATAGAAGATTAATAGAAGATTAATAGAAGATTAATAGAAGATTAATAGAAGATTAATAAAATAACTCATTTTCAACTAGGTCCCTAAATCTAAACCTGGTTTGGTATAAATGTATAAATGTAGGTAATGTGAAGACATTTTTTACGTTATTCTAAATCAAAAATATAGATTTTATCGCAATATTATAAAAAAACATTTCGTCCCTTCTATGCCTCCTCAGTTTTTTAAAAAATAATGTATATCTTACCTTGTAATTTTCTAAAAGGCTGATAAACATTTCTGGGTCTTTAGTTACAATTTTAGGTACGACCAATATTGCTTTTCCATTCACCAACGGTCCCCAAATTTCGGCAATGCTGTCAACAAATGTTAACGCAGTTTTGAACACGCATATGTTTTCAGTGTTGCTATAAGGAAATCTCCTGAACTGCCATTGTAGTCTGTTTAAAATGACCTTGTGCGGTAGACGTACACCTTAAAAAGTCAAAAAAGCTATCAACAAACTAATTTTTCTATTTTATGTTATTTGAAAAAATCTAATTTGTCGTTCGAAAGTGATAGATTAATAAACAAAATTCAAGTAGAAACATAAATTGGTTTCTTTTTGCATTTAGGTATATCTCTCCGTTTGACCAACAATGATTTTAGTACCAGAATATGGAGTATTTTTAAAACAAAAAATGATTAAGGGTTTAATTCTGTTTGTTTTGCATTATATTTTAGAAATAAAAAATTAGTATGTTCATTTCAATCTTTTATCTAGCCATTTGTAATCATCTATGGTTCTTTACTCTAATTTAGAGCCTGTTCACATCGGTGGCGACACACGGTGGCGCTGTTAAATTACACGCCATTCGCTATCGTCATAAAGTCGCAACCACTGATCGTTCTTGTGGATCTGCTAGATGCAAGGTAGCGCGACTTCATGGTAATAAAAATTTGCCAGTTTCTAATGGTTCTCGTAAGAGGGTTTATTTTGGTAGAAAGAGATACAATAATTACATCTGAATGTTTATTATTTGGGCTATTTTATACTAGAATACATAATACTGTACCCCGCAATCAAAATAAAATTCTTTCTGCAGTGTGAACAGTTCTAGCAGCTGAGTGTCGCCACAGATGCTCATAGTTTAATATTACATGAATACCAGGCATTTACATGCCACAGAGTGGCGCCACTAAGTGTGGCCACCAAGTGATCCATGTAGACGAACTCTTATAACAAATTAGATCTATTTATTAATCACATAAACATTTTTTCATACTGAATGGATTTATATTTTTAAAATTGTAGTCCGTTCCTGAAATGACCTATTAATACGGGCTTTATTATTGAAATTCCTATTAATGTCATCTACAGACATGTTGCTTACCTTTAGGTACTCCAGTACTACCAGAAGTGTACAAAACTATGGCAAGATCGTCTTTAATGTGTCGAACTTTTTCGTTTGGCGTCAAAGTATCTTCAAGTTGATGGCTGCTATCAGTTGCCAGTTCTTCAAAAGACAATTTCATTGTGTCCAAGTAATATTGTGAGTCTATAAAAAGCAAGAAATGATTATTATGAGTAGCGGTTTCAATAATAAATAGTTAGCTCTACCAATGGTGATGGTCTACCAAAATTTGATAATTATAATAATAAAAATAATAATAAATAATAATAATAAAGTTTATTCAAAATATTAATATATTACAATACAATAAGTATAATAGATATATGACAAAATGACAAATATATAACAAACTATTATTACGAGTTACATCAATTCAATATTTATTAAATAAATTGAGAATAAACATAATTAAGTCACTGCAGTATTAACAATTAGATTGTAACACTTGTGCGTGACTATTTTATTTTAATTATGACATTAACATAAAAAATTTTAAATTAGACCAAAGTATATATAGGAAAAATCGATAATTTTAGTGATTTTTTTAAATTAAAGGGGTAAATCTCCTCTAATCTCCCTCTTTGTTACTAATGTTCACATTTTAAGAACTTTTCACCTCTCTAGCTTATCAGAAAGAATATAGAAGATAAAATAATCCTTTTTAATCCACTTAATGATCAATAAGTAATAAAAATAAGTAGGGGGGGAGTCCCCTGAAAACGGTGGGTGCAAGAAAAAACTGGGTTAAATTGAGATTCTGTAGGTCATTTTACATAAGAATCAGCAGGAATATTGTCAGGGTTTAAACATTTTTTTTAACACTAATAGAAAATAAACTTAATTATTTAATAAAATTTCCTATTCATTCAGTACATTTTGACCAGCTATTATTCATCGTATTTGTCTGTGAGATAATTTTGAAGTTCAGATAAATCCACTTCCACAAAATTGTATCGGCAAAAGATTAAAAAGATACTCTCCAATCGGCTTAAAATAAGATAAAAGGGGGTTTCTTTTATTCAAGAAGAGCTCAAGAGATTATGGGTTTTATATACGTATTATTTTGTAACTTCTCTCTATAAGATTTTCTTTTTTCTTACATCTTGATCTTATTTGAGTTGAGGATTTATTTTTCTTCTTAGATAATATATCTATAAGTTAAGTACGTTTATTTAATTTTATAAATGTCCTTGTCAGTAACACAAACAAAATGTTGATGTCTCTATTTATTTTAAGGTTTAAAAATTAAGAAATCTCTATTAAACGAATAACATAAAAATGTACAATTATTGCGCAGTATGTAATTAAGAAAAACTATAAAAATATTTCATTTATATCTTCAGTAATAAATTACAGAATGGCGACATCAGCTACAGAAAAAATATGTGAATATATGAACTTAATTTTTAGTTATTAAATACGAGGTTAAATCACTAATTTAAATAGCAATAAAATTAACTAGGTACCTTTTTCATACACAATCAATGCAGGATTGGCTTCTCTAACAATATGTTCTACCCTGGGTCCTGGAAATGACGGATCCAAAGGCATATAAGCAGCTCCGGACTTCCAGATGGCCAATAGAAGCATGACAAGATGATCGCTGGGTTGCATATTGACAGCAATAATGTAGTCGCCATCTTTGTTTCTAGGTAGATTATTTGTGGAAATTATATCCACAATGGTTCTTGATAGCTTATTTGTGATTCGATTTACTTCTGAGTATGTATGTCTTCTGATTTGGCCATTTACTAAAGTAGGGAATAATAATTATTTTATTTATTAGCTGATACACGCTAAATTAGCTTAATAATATGGATGTTATTTTATTAGATTCTTTAGGGTTAAATTATGCCTGGTTACAATTCCTTTAACCTCTAGGGTTATATTTAAGTAACTTGTAATATGTTGTTGAAAAGTTTTGAAAAGTGCCGATTTTCAGAGAATTTAATACAAATTTGAATATCTTGGCAACGCAGCATCCGATTTTTAAAACCAAAGTATTGACTTAAAGATCGCTGAAGTAGTAGGTAATTCAAAAATGTAAAATTAAACGGATTATTTTAAACAAAAATGTTTTCAACGTTTTTGTCACTTGAACTTGAAGCACTCTATACAAAACCTATTTTGTGGTTATAGGACTTTTTAAATAGAATAAACTGGTTCTGTTTCATTTCATTATATTAGTTTCATAGCTTAACGTGTATAAAGAATAAATAACATTAGTCCCAGAACTGAGCCTTGTCGAACTCCAGTAACGTTTTTTTGCATAAACATATGATTCAATCAGTCAATCACAATTCGTCTATAAGAGAAGATAATTAAGAGAAATTTAGAAGAAATAAATATAGAAGAAATAACTAGAAAAGAAATATAGAGGAAATATAGAAGAAATATAGAAGAAATATAGAAGAAATATAGAAGAAATATAGAAAAAATATAGAAGAAATATAGAAGAAATATAGAAGAAATATAGAAGAAATATAGAAGAAATATAGAAGAAATATAGAAGAAATATAGAAGAAATATAGAAGAAATATAGAAGAAATATAGAAGAAATATAGAAGAAATATAGAAGAAATATAGAAGAAATATAGAAGAAATATAGAAGAAATATAGAAGAAATATAGAAGAAATATAGAAGAAATATAGAAGAAATATAGAAGAAATATAGAAAAAATATAGAAGAAATATAGAAGAAATATAGAAGAAATATAGCAGAAATATAGAAGAAATATAGAATAAATATAGAAGAAATATAGAAGAAATATAGAAGAAATATAGAAGAAATATAGAAGAAATATAGAAGAAATATAGAAGAAATATAGAAGAAATATAGAAGAAATATAGAAGAAATATAGAAGAAATATAGAAGAAATATAGAAGAAATATAGAAGAAATATAGAAGAAATATAGAAGAAATATAGAAGAAATATAGAAGAAATATAGAAGAAATATAGAAAAAATATAGAAAAAATATAGAAGAAATATAGAAGAAATATAGAAGAAATATAGAAGAAATATAGAAGAAATATAGAAGAAATATAGAAGAAATATAGAAGAAATATAGACGAAATATAGAAGAAATATAGAAGAAATATAGAAGAAATATAGAAGAAATATAGAAGAAATATAGACGAAATATAGAAGAAATATAGAAGAAATATAGAAGAAATATAGAAGAAATATAGAAGAAATATAGAAGAAATATAGAAGAAATATAGAAGAAATATAGAAGAAATATAGAAGAAATATAGAAGAAATATAGAAGAAATATAGAAGAAATATAGAAGAAATATAGAAGAAATATGGAAAAAATATAGAAGAAATATAGAAGAAATGTAGAAGAAATATAGAAGGAATATGGAAAAAATATTATTTAAATTTTAAAATGGGCTCTCATATTAACAACCTCTACAGTCAATAATAATAATTGAAATGTTCTGTTTTTTTATATTTATAAAAAAATTTCAATTCAAGTTCATTTTTTTATTCAACTGTTAATTAATTTTTATCTTAGTAATGTATATAAAAAAATGCAGTTTGTTTTTTGTAAAAATCAATTTATCGCATGAATGAATTAATTGAGTAAATTAATAGAAATAATCTAAACGTTTTAATAACCTTTACTATGATTTAAATAAAAAAGGAACTATAAAATAATACACAATAAATTAAACATTGGAGTTTATAATATATTATTGACGTTTCTTTCAGTTTTACTGAAAAGATACTGACTTGAGACTGCATTAGATGCTGCGTTTGAGAATCCACATCGGATGCATTTTTTACATCTCGAGCGTTTTTTTATCCACATCGGACACATCTGTCCCATTACATTTACGTATACTGAATCACGTGATCAAAGATTTTTTACATCTCAGATGCATCCGATGTGGATTCTCAAACGCAGCAAGAATATCTATTTAATAGATTCCATTAGTGTAAAGGTCCCTGAAAATAGGCAACCCCATAGTATATTAAGCCCTACGGACATTGACGCGTACATGATGTCTATGGACTTTAAGTTCTCTGTGCATAAAGGTTAAAAATAATCATAAAGATTTCAAATTCGATAATTTTTATTTCGCAATAATAAGATCACTGATCCAATCTTAGTGAATTCTACATATTTTTAGGATACCTTTAAGTAAGTTCACAATTTATTAAAATATAGGACTATATTTTTAAAATAGTTTTTTTCGACCTAACCTAAATTCAAATTATTTAGAGTTTTAAAGTTGTATAGATGTTAATACTTCATGTATGGTAAGGTTGCATACATTTGAGTATTCTGGAGCATTAAATTCTACTTAAAAGTTCCAGTGCAATAGCTTTGTCTGTGGCATTAAATTGTTCTAAATATACCTACATATTTCCAGCCATTTTCCATTTCATTTTATTAGTGAATTTTTTGTGAATATGTATTTCAACTGCCTTAACCTAACTTACTAAGTTTCTTGTTCAATCTTGAACCCCTTTTCTTTCACAATGGGTTTGCATATAATAATTTAAAAAAACATCACTCAAAATAAAGAGAAATATTAAAATTACCTTCAAAAATTAAAGCCGTTTCGTTTTCATGTCGCGATTTGGCGATACTGTCGAAAATATTGTCAAGAGTGTTGGGGTGGATATTCCTTGTCGGACCTTTTAGAATCGAAAGTTGTGGAATTGATCCCATGATCTGAAAAGGACATAATTAAATAAGTAAGTTGAGTTTTCGCCTGTTTGTTTTTTATACAGGGTCACGAATAACAGCCTAACTTTATCAGAATCAATATTATTATTTAAAGCATATAAATTAACACTTCTGGCCATAAATGTTCCAATATATTTTCTCTCATTTGCTCCTGGTTATGTTCGTTTATGAATTCATTTTAGTAACCTAAGTTTCGCTAGTTGTATTTTTTAATAGCGTGTGCTTTTATAATATGGTCGACGAATGGTATGTTGAGGTCTATATGTATGGTGTAGCTGGATATGTACCTACCATGGAGCACAAAATATTTTGGACTAAACGGTTTGTAGTAGTTTTATGTTTGAGGGTTAACTGCAACCCCTCAATGATAGCCGTGAATTTCTGCCTATTTACCACCACATTTGTCTCAATTTTAGTTTTATTTACTGCTTCTTGGCTTCCATCAATGTCTTCCAGATTAATTTCCTATCTCGGTGTATTCCCAGGTAGTTTAATTTTTAATTTATTGTAACTTGGGACAAATACACATCTGTTAGTGAAACGAATTTGCACAGATTTGGTGGTAATAACCTTGATCCTTAATATTTTTTGCAAATTTTGTAAAAAGTTTAAATGAATTGCTGGTTGATTAGTCTGTGATGTACATCAAATATCGATATGAACCCATCGCGTTGCCTTGTGGGACTCAAGGGATTTCTAAAATTTTTAATTTCAAAATTTTTAAAGTTACGTTTATTATAAGTATTTTAAACCTAATTTTTAGCTGTAATCGTATAATTCAATATTTGTAAACTTAAAATGATTCTACTATAAGTAATTATTGTTAAAAATAATTAACATTAGAAATACAGCATTCAAACAAAATTGAACAATAAATAAAAACAATACAGATAAGAAATAAGAAAGGTTAGTTATTTAAAGCTGATGATGTAATAAATAACGAAGAAGAATCTGAAGTTGTAAAGATAGAGTTTACCGGAACAGTCCTTGATTCAACTTAATATATTCATAAATATAATGAATTAAATTAAATACATTCTTTTAATTATTAGAAAAAGATAAAGGTAATACTTTAATTATAACGATTGTAAAAAGAATTCAATTAGTAATTTCATAGTTTCGCACACATTATATCATTACAATTTTACATATAGATAGATTATGTATGAGTTTTCTGGTTAATTATAGAACACAATCGGTATCAGATGAATTGCTGATCTATTACAGCAGAAAAATAATTACAAAATTAATCAAATTTAACTTTTCAACATTAAAAATTATTTAGAGGTGTTCCTTATTGCCCAATATATACATATGTCTCATATCTGATATAACAAAAAAATAATTATAAAATATACCATATTATCCATCCAGACAATCAAGCCAAAGGTGCTTCTTCCATCATAACTAAAAAAAAATGTTGATTTAGGCTCTGATTAATGGGCTGTAATTCTGACTTTGAGTGAAACAGTTTTTACAAGAGCAACCTACTCTTATCAATAAACCTACTATTAAAGTTTTAGAATTGTATTTAAAAACAAGATTAATCTGAATACCAATTTGAAAACAACTGAACAATTTGAATAATGTAGAAAAATTGTTCAAGCAGCTGCTTTTAATAACACTAATAAAGTTTCCTATTTGTCAAAAGGAAGAAACTATCCAGTTAGTATTAGAGAATTTGTTAGAGAAAATGAAGAAGCAGGAAGAAGATGGCAACAATTTATAGAACCATCTGGGAACAGAAATCGAGAAGCTCAAAAAAGAATCAACACCAGATGAAGAGACAAATTACTTTCTTTGGAACAACAAATTTGAAAACATTAATTGTAAATTAAACAAAATTTTTCTAATATATAAATAAAACATTTTTAGATTATTAGACTACCAAGTACTAATTTTTGTTATTTATAATTATTCATATTAACAGCTTAACAATTATTGCTTCGACAACGTCAAAATTCTGAGCAGTGTTTGGGATGTAGCTTCGTCTCTCTTACATTATAATGCTCTTGTCTAACTGACCTATCTCATATTAACTACCTAATCTTAGTCGACAGAATTAATCAAAATATTTCACTTATATTTCACAAAGGCATTTAGATCGTTAGTTTCTACATTGTTGTAGGTCGGTTAGCCAACAGCGTTCTAATGAGATCTATTGTTGATCTATTTATATAGGAAGTGCAATACTCATGGAATGAGTGTATGCATTCTTTTACATATAGTGCTTGTCTAAAGTATCTTCTTCTTAGAAAGCTATCGTAAAATTTTTTTAAATTAAAATACAATTTAAATTACTAAGTGTTAACCGAAAGGTAACATTTGAGAAGGCGAGACCGAGTAAGACGACAAGCGAAGGCAGCAAGCAGCAAATACTGCGTGTTAAAAGTGCTGTCGTCGGTCGCGCTGTCCCAAATGTGTTTAATTTTTTTACATGTGGTCAGAGGTCTCGCGTTCCTAAATTTTCACATACTAGTTTTGATTTTTTATTAAATGGTAATATTTTGAGTATTACCTCGTTTAAAACCTGCTTCAAATATCTATTGTTTTATTTTGACGTCCGAAAATAATAACATTCACAAAAATGCTACCAGGTTTGTTACTGGAGATACTAAAGATACTAAAGATACTAAAGATACTAAAGATACTAAAGATACTAAAGATACTAAAGATACTAAAGATACTAAAGATACTAAAGATACTAAAGATACTAAAGATACTAAAGATACTAAAGATACTAAAGATACTAAAGATACTAAAGATACTAAAGATACTAAAGATACTAAAGATACTAAAGATACTAAAGATACTAAAGATACTAAAGATACTAAAGATACTAAAGATACTAAAGATACTAAAGATACTAAAGATACTAAAGATACTAAAGATACTAAAGATACTAAAGATACTAAAGATACTAAAGATACTAAAGATACTAAAGATACTAAAGATACTAAAGATACTAAAGATACTAAAGATACTAAAGATACTAAAGATACTAAAGATACTAAAGATACTAAAGATACTAAAGATACTAAAGATACTAAAGATACTAAAGATACTAAAGATACTAAAGATACTAAAGATACTAAAGATAGTAAAGATACTAAAGATACTAAAGATACTAAAGATACTAAAGATACTAAAGATACTAAAGATACTAAAGATACTAAAGATACTAAAGATACTAAAGATACTAAAGATACTAAAGATACTAAAGATACTAAAGATACTAAAGATAGTAAAGATACTAAAGATACTAAAGATACTAAAGATACTAAAGATACTAAAGATACTAAAGATACTAAAGATACTAAAGATACTAAAGATACTAAAGATACTAAAGATACTAAAGATACTAAAGATACTAAAGATACTAAAGATACTAAAGATACTAAAGATACTAAAGATACTAAAGATACTAAAGATACTAAAGATACTAAAGATACTAAAGATACTAAAGATACTAAAGATACTAAAGATACTAAAGATACTAAAGATACTAAAGATACTAAAGATACTAAAGATACTAAAGATACTAAAGATACTAAAGATACTAAAGATACTAAAGATACTAAAGATACTAAAGATACTAAAGATACTAAAGATACTAAAGATACTAAAGATACTAAAGATACTAAAGATACTAAAGATACTAAAGATACTAAAGATACTAAAGATACTAAAGATACTAAATATACTAAATATACTAAAGATAATAAAGATACTAAAGATACTAAAGATACTAAAGATACTAAAGATACTAAAGATACTAAAGATACTAAAGATACTAAAGATACTAAAGATACTAAAGATACTAAAGATACTAAAGATACTAAAGATACTAAAGATACTAAAGATACTAAAGATACTAAAGATACTAAAGATACTAAAGATACTAAAGATACTAAAGATACTAAAGATACTAAAGATACTAAAGATACTAAAGATACTAAAGATACTAAAGATACTAAAGATACTAAAGATACTAAAGATACTAAAGATACTAAAGATACTAAAGATACTAAAGATACTAAAGATACTAAAGATACTAAAGATACTAAAGATACTAAAGATACTAAAGATACTAAAGATACTAAAGATACTAAAGATACTAAAGATACTAAAGATACTAAAGATACTAAAGATACTAAAGATACTAAAGATACTAAAGATACTAAAGATACTAAAGATACTAAAGATACTAAAGATACTAAAGATACTAAAGATACTAAAGATACTAAAGATACTAAAGATACTAAAGATACTAAAGATACTAAAGATACTAAAGATACTAAAGATACTAAAGATACTAAAGATACTAAAGATACTAAAGATACTAAAGATACTAAAGATACTAAAGATACTAAAAATACTAAAGATACTAAAGATACTAAAGATACTAAAGATACTACCACGAAAAGATATAGTAAAACTGACTAATAAAATAAACGAAACATTTTAGTTTTCAACATGTTTCACTACTATACAAAATTGTTGAAGCAATAATATCTAGTTTATCTCTATTTAAAGACTCCATTTTCAAAACACCTTGTATATGTATCAGTATTGGGTATGGAAAAAATTAATTTAGTAAGCTACGCTCACTGTTAAATTCTCTGTGTTTTGGCCTGTAAATATAGAAATGCAATTGCAATAAAACTTAAAGAATGAGGTATGTATGGTTTAACTAGCTATTTAAAATTATGAAATTTCTCATAAAGTATGTACTCGTTCCTGAATAGAATAATTATATATGTATGTAATTATTGCTAAATGAACTATCAACAAGATTGCTGCAGTCGATGTCGGTAGCAGATGTTTGATGGTTTGATGAAAGTGAAACCAAGGTTGCGTAGATAAAAATCTCTATACCTTGATTTTTACAAGGAGGATTTTCATATTTTATAGGTATATAGGAAGGTACAAGTAAGTGCGTGAATTGAGTATCACATTCTACATTTATAAAAATGAAGAACTCA